TCTCCCTTTTATAAAGTGTTATCCATCTTTTATACCATTTCTTTTGGAATCATCTGAATAACGTGTCAACTAGCAAGATACGTTTTGTTAGCTGGTAAAGTCCCAAAATACTGGGCGCTCTAGCGTCTGGCTCTTTACCTAGAAAATGGTGCTTGTTTTCAAGGTATTTACAGAAGTAAAAGGATTGCTACAGACGATGGCAAACAAACAGCTTAACAAACATCTGCATGAATGCATTAATTATAAATGGTGAAATGCATTACAGAGCAGACAGCCTGTCCCTAACCCCTCTCCCACGCTTTAGGGGCACTGGTAAGACACAAGTAACATGCTGCCCAGCTGGCTTTCTGCATGGGAATGTATTTCTTCCCAAAAGAGTATTGGAGTACATGTGTAGTTTTTAAGTGTGTTAACAGTAAAGTACCTTAAACCAAAGATGGAGGGAATCACCGTTGCTGCCTTATTTTCTAAGATGCTGAGATTAAGTTTATGTGCGAAGGGCAGTGGTGATATAATCATGCAGCGGAGATTGGCCTGCTAATTCTGATTTGGTTAATAACTTCCGTGCCGGAAAGCATGACGACAACCTTATCGTTCTACTCCATGCAGTTTTGGGACTTTTAAATAGCTGTTTCCTTCTTTTGAAAAAGCCATGCTGAGCTCAAGCCCTTCGAGATGCGTGGCTGGGTAGCTCAGCATACTGTCCGTTTGATCAGAGAAGTACGTCTCCATTGCTGTGGTGGAAGTTATCCAAGGACTTGCTGTCTCAGTGAATTTTACTGATTGTACTGGCATTCACTGCAGCATGGAAGGGGGATCTTCGTTTTGGATAGCCAGAGAGGTGTGCAGGGCGTCTGCTTGCTGTACTGGGGAAAGTACTGCCCTCATCCCCTTCCGTGTCAAAATTCAACCTTCATCATTGACAGCTGGTGATGGCAACAGATACTTAAAAAATTATATTCATTCAACAGACATGCCTGCACGCAGGAGGCTGAAAGGTGTGTGGTCCCGTCACTTCCCAGGACATGGATCTGTGCCGTGGAAGTCCAGCTTTTAGGCAGATTCTGTTTGGTGTTGCAATGCCCGTTTCCCATAGAGCGCTTTGTGAACCACTTAAATCCCACGCTCTCGTTTTCACTTGTAGCAGAGCAGACTCTGAGATGAGAAGTGCGCTTGTATCACAACACTTAGGCTTCCGCATTTGATTATTCGGGAGCGTTGCCTGCTTTTCACCAGGCAACTTGAAGTGCTGGTGCAGACGGCAGTGACAGCACGGGGTCCCGGGCAGAGCAAGGTGGGAGCGTGGTCTTCTGTTTCGTTCATACGTTAACAGCTTTCCCCCATGTTAGACAGCACAGGAGCAAAGCACAGGGATGATAGTCCCAGTGGAGACCCAGGGCTTAGCCGTATAGTCCTGCCAGCTCTAACGACATATGTTTTTCTTTTGCAGGCCTATACAATTCAGGGACAATACGCTATTCCACACCCGGATGTGAGTTTTACCCTAATTCTTCTTATACCCTTTTATGTCACCTGCATGCTACTGTTAATTAATATAATATTAATATTAGAAAATAATATTAATAGCATATTTTCAAAGTAACTGGCCATGTGTAGTATCTGTAATACCTTGAATAGCCTTTTAACCTGTTAGTGCTAAATTTTCTTAATTCTGAGGACTTGGCCTGATGCTAAATTATTTGCATTGTTCAGTGCTATCCCTTTGTTATCACGCAAACCATATTCTATGCATTTTGTGCCTCGAAACAAGCAAAGAAAAAAAAGACTTTCCTTTCTATTTTCCCCCTCTCCCTAAAGTGTTGGTAACCCAATGACTTATTCAGGTGCTGAGTGTCTTCTGGTCTTCTCAGAGGAGGCTATTTCACTTTCTGAGCACTGCTGGTCTCTCGCAAGCTGGCGTCTCACTGAACGTGCCCTTTTTCCTACTGCAAAAAGGGCATCCAAGTCTCTAGTGATGCACTGTTATTCCCCTTCTTTCTGGATTAACTGCTGCTTTAGACTGGAGAGCGGCTTTACAGTCCAGCTGTTCAAGATGTGCAACTTCTTGTTCTGTGATGAGGAGGGTGAGATTCTCCTGCTACTGCCTTGTGTGGGGTACCCAAAGCAGACCTGGTGCCTTCTGACGCCTAATACCTTCGCTATGAGTTTGGTGGGATGGAGGAGAAACAAGAGGTTTGGAGACGCATTCATTCCTAGTTGAAGTTAAGGCAGGGGGACATGTCTTTTTTGTGGTCCTTTCCAGGGTGACTGCAGACATTGTCCATGCAGACATTTAAGCTGTGCAAGCTGTTTTCTGATACTCCCTGAAGAAAGAGGGGGAAGGAGGGATGAGTACAGCACTGATCTGCAGTACTGGTCCATGCTGGATCTCACCTCGCTGACCAGTCTGTGTGTCCGTGGAGGAATCAGAGCAAAGCCTAAAGGAGGGGGTGACCTACAGCAGGGCCACTGAATCAAGGGTAAATCCATACCACTCATTCCTCCCTTCCTCCTTTCATGTGAAAATAGCATTGCCAGCACACAGAGAGGACAGGCCATGCCGTGCCACGTAAGGAATATGGGGCAGGGAGAGTGATGGAGCTCTCTCTCTCGTAGACAGAGTGCGGTAAGGCAAGGTGAAAGACGGCTCCAAAAGCTCCAGCGCCAAAGAGGAGAGGCTGCCGCTCAGGAAGGTCGTTCCAGCGACCTTCTCGCAGTGATTCAGCCACCCTCAAACACAGGGGCTGACAGGAGAGGCCCTGGAGGGATACGCTGCAGCTCATAGGCTTTCGTGACAGGCAATCGTTTGCTAGCACAGTCGTTCCCACTCTCCTATCCCAGGGAGTACTGCAGTCACCCGTTTGCTTTCTATGACCTTCAGACGAAGAAAACATCCGGGTGGGTGATTTGCTGGGGTCGGGCCAGGCTGCAGGGTGCTTGGAGGTGGATGGGGATAGGCCCCTCACAGGGGTGGTCGATAGGAAGGTGTGGGGCTGGTAAGCGTTTGCTGAGCTGCCTGTTCGCAGTACTGGCTAGTACTCTCCGAGGAGGTGAGGGAACTGGGCCAGCGAACTTCTTGTTGCTTGTGCTCCTGACAGCACGTCGCTGCCCACCCCTCTGCGAAGCACCAGCAGGACTTCGGTCAGCCTCCGCTTGACAGCTGTCTCATTGGGTTTGGCTCTCTGTCGTCCTAGGAGGGGACATCACAGACACAGTCTCTGCTTCATCTAGCGCTCCTTTACGTGGAGACAAATGCTGTTCAAACTTCAAGTGCAGCTGGCCTTGGCTCTTGCTCAAATCCCCCTGCTCGCTGGGTGCCTTTGGAACGACAGAGACACAAAACATTTTGCAGGGGGACTTGTAAGAAATGAATGCTTGGCATATCTTTGCATAGCAATACTGATAGAAATAGAAAACTAGTCTATTTTAAAGGATTTTTCTACGGAGAGCAGCAGTGAAGAAATAAAACACCAGCAACTGCTCGCCGGCAGCATAGAAGTGGAGGTTTTCAGTGCCTGGTCATCAGGAAGACAGCTGCTCGGCTTTTGTAATTTGTCTCAGCTGCTGAGGGATGGTTAACAAACGCTGAGGAGCTCTTGGAAAAAACTGAGATTTTCTGAATGTGTTGGAATAAGGATAAAAAAAATCCAGAGAGTCCCAATGCGGAAGCCCCTTCCCACTGACATCTGTGAAGATCACAGGATCTTCAGTGAGAACTGAGCAGAAAAAGTCGCTCTGCAGATGCTAGATAATTGTAAATTGTATGGTCTGGGTGGAAAGACCTCACCATAAATCTTACATGCTTAAAGAATTTGATATGGTTCAGTATTGCCCTTTCTGATGGGCAAGTTGGGTATTAACTCATTTGATTACCTCTTGCATAATTGAGAACCAGGCAAAACTGTCCAATACCATAAACACATGCTTCCCATGATGTTAATGGAAAAGAGTAGAAGTTATATTTATATATATATTTATATATATATATAACTTCTAATATATAGAAGTTATATAAATTTTGTTCTTAGGAGCAGTGATTTCACCCGTTCTAATGGAGGACAGAATTTGACTTTCCATGGGACTCCAGTACATGTATTTTGGATAGCCTGGTATAATTGTTGCTAAGAAATATATTTTTTTGTGCTTTTCATTTTTGCTCCCTAAGTAAAACATAAATAAACATGACCGTATATTTAGCGAGGGTAAATCAATATATTCTTTGTCCCAGTTTTGCTTTTCAATCAGTGGCATTAGAGTGTTTTCCTTGTAATTATACTCCTCTGTTTGATAGGAATGAAATACGTTATGGTACACATAGTGCTGTGGCAATATTTATGCTTTAGTCAGTGCTGGAAAAACAGTATCTGTGTCTTGTTGGCCACACTCTGGCCTGCTCCCACCAGATTTGCTGAGACTTTTGGAAGGAGTTGTTTGTATAAAGGTCACATGTTCCATCCTTATTCTTGTAGCTCTCTCACAAGGATCTGTCATTTTAGATAGCGCTTGGCAGTGAAATCCGTCTTGAGCAAATTCTTAAGGTATTGTCCTTGCTCTTATAGATATTTGTGTTTAAATGGATCCTTTCTGTAGATTCCGCAACAAACTCATGACTGTGGAATGGGCAGGATTTCAAATACCAGAACTAAAATCTGAGCTCCTGTCTTCATTTCCTCCCTTGGGCAAAACCCATCCAGGTCAGTCGGAGTGTTGCCTCATGAGGGGCTTCAGGATTGCCCTGAGTACTCATACCCCGTTTTGGAGGTGGCACATAGGCTACCTGCCCTCACAAAATTTGCAGGGGAAGACAGAAGGACAGCCTGTGGCAGCAGGGAGTCCGGGGGCATTTGGGAGTGGAATAGGTGCTGAGCATAGGAAACCTCCCCACACGAGGGAATTGCAGTGTGCACGCTCATGGGTATGAACCAGACTGGCAGCTGATGAGATGCAACCAGGCATTTTTGTGGGTGTCTAGTGATGCTCCATATGGATGTACGTTGGTAGAAAGCAGTGCTCTCCGGTCCCTTTCAGCATTGCCAACGGGGTAACTCACCTTTGGTCTGTACGAGGAACTCAAGTTTGAGAAAATGCTCTCAGGTCTTTGCTTCCAGCTTTTTCTAGCCTGTCAGGAAAGAGAAGAGGGTGTTTTATGCAGTGCAAGCATTCATGTGGCAGCTTTTATTGTAATGCATAGACATAGCAATCCTCTCTTTCTGTGCAGGTGTTTTTCAGTGCTGTCATTGTATCACGGGCATTTGCTAAATACCAGTATTAAAACTATTTCTTAGAAATGTTCTGGTTCAACAGTAGAACAGATTCTGGCATTTTCCCCTGCCCCAAGCAGCTGCACAGAACGCTCTGTGGCTCCTGATGCCATCCCATCAGGCGAAGCAGGACTCCTTCCCCACGACACCGTTAGGAGCATTCAGGCAAACGAGCAGCCCGATCAGCTCTGTTTCCCCAGGCCTTCATGGCAAGCTCCTCTTCACAGCTCCAGCAGCAGTAAGCAGGACTGCTGTCATGCAGAACAGCAATGTTGGACAAGTTTCCAGATGCTGCAAAGGAGGAGGAGGTTTTATCTAGAGCTGTGCAGCAGCTGCCTGTGGTGTTCCTTTTGGTGGGACTCATAAGAATAACCTCGCTAGCACTAATGTCCTTCAGCTGACCAAACTCCACCAGCTGCCTTTGAGCTCAACAGAGATGCTGGCTCTACAGCATTAAAATAGTGGCAAAAGAACAAGTGAAACGTGCAGAGTTAACTTTGAAAGGAGCACAGACAGGACACATCTGGGTTTAATTTCAGGAAAAACAAGATAGAAAACTTACAAGATTCGGAAAAAAGAAAGGAGAATACTGAAGACCATGTTATCTGCAGGAGTACTGGCATTCCCAATCTCATCTGGAGCTGGTTGTGGTTCAGCCTGGTGCAGGCCTTCTTTAGCTTGTTTTCTGTGTGCTACACAGAGAGATTTGTACGTGCCACGTCTCGTGCAGCAGTGAGACCTTTCCCCTGGGCTTGAGCGAACAGGCAAGGGCTGAAAGTCCTCAAGGCTTTGCCTGGGTAGGTTACCCTCTGGTACCTCTGCGGTGATTGGCAAGCATTTCCTGTTTCTGCAGCTCCCTTCCAGTCTTTCACCTGATCTCTTCAGCTCCCCAAGTCTTCTCTCTCCAGCGCTTCACCCTTACCACTGCTGATGTCAGACCTCCCTGCACTTCCTCCCCCCAAACACACTGCAGGAGCAAGGAGTTTTTTGAATATTGGTCCCCCCCCAGACATTGAAATTTCAACTTCTGCCTCTCCCTTGCTGCGGAGGGAATGGGTGCAATGAGCTGTTTGCATCTGGGGGATGATATGATCCTGGTAACTCTCTGGGCACTATGAAATCACCAAGAGGGAGGTGATCTCATGGCAGAACTGTTAAATTTCAGCCCACTTAATTTTTTTTTTTAATTTGGAACAGTAAAACAGAGCACAAAATGTATTCCAAACAAACTCCTCTCTATGCAATCGCTTCCTGATGGGGCATGAAAAGATACCCAGCACAACAAGGGATACAAGGATCTGAAATACCTACTGGTCATGGTTGAAGCCCATATTTCCGCAAACTGCTAAGGGGCTTGGGTTTGTAATGCGTTTGTCAAAGCTGACGGTAAGAGCTGCAGTTTGCCTGCCGCCGGAGACATTTCCCATCGGATGCATAGCACAAGAGCACATCTACTGCACAGGGAAATGGTCACAGTGTGGCTCCAGCAACACAGGAGGATCTTCTAAATATTGGCATGGGCCAGCCTCAGATCTGGCTGTAGCTTTGAAATACCTCCTCTGCAATAAAACTTTACTATAGCGACCAGCAGCCGTTTGCAGCAGGTTGCAAAGCCTGAGAAAGGAAGGCAATGGCTGGAAACCTTTTGCATATAAATCCTGCCGCTCCTTTAGCAGCTCCCTGTTTCCTCAAGGCAGAGAGGGCTGCTTACCCTTGGTGAAGGAGCGAAACCATTTTACAGGAGATGGAAAGTAAGAATGGGCTTCCTGCTGGTATCGTACTTCAGACCCTGATCAAGCACTTCTGTGAAAGATTTGGGCTTTATTGCATCTTACCCAGGCCAAGTCCTTCTGTTAATGTTGTTTTTGCCATGTCTCATCATGGCTTCCTGTTTTGTTTTGTTTTTTTTTTCCATTATAATTTTGTTCTTGATTTTCAGTGTGACTTGTTGTACTCTATAACAATAACCTTCTTAGCTCTAATGTCCCTCCTACCCCTCAGCAGTTGACCAAGCTCCACCAGTTGGCTATGCAGCAAACCCCCTTTACTCCCCTTGGACAGACCACCCCCGCTTTCCCTGGTACGTACCCAGACGCCCTTTCTAGATATCCTTCTCTTCTTACCTGTAGAGTTTCTCTCTCTTTCTGAACTCATTTTATTTAATAGAAGTAAATAGGACAAGTAAAACTGAAGTTGTAATGTCAATGGGCAAAAGTTAACAGAGAGACTAGATGGATGTTTTGTGGTTGCTCTCCTCACAGGCCAGCTCTCGGCGGTTAACTGTGGGTGTTCAGTTTGCTCTTGGGGAAATCATGTTTATCCTGCTTCCAGCTTTGCTGGCTTTTTGAGCAGAAGTGAATGAGCGCCAGTATAAACCTTGACTCTTTCTAGCCCAGTGGCGATAGCATGCCTTACTGTGTATCGATCCGGACTAGGTGAGACATCCCTGTTTCCCGTGCAGGGTGCTGCCTGCCCATGCAAGTGGGGAAGGCTTCTCTGTGCCCTTCCCCTTGGAGCTGGTGGCTGTCGGGGAGGCTCGCCACGTATCTGAGGAGCGGTGCAATGCTGCAGTGCATGAGGCGAGGAGGACGGCACCCCTCCGCTGGGAAGAGAGATGGGAAGGAGACGCAGCTGCAGGGAGCTGTGTTAGCAGGGAGGACAGCCAGAACTGTAGTGTCTCATTAGCGCTATTTGCAAAACTGGTGTTCCAGCTAAAATATTTCATGGCGAGCTAGGAAGCAGAAAGAGCACAGGGGATGCAAATACTTTAAGTATCTTTGTTTACTCAATGGTCAAAGTGCCGCTCGGAAATGCCTTTTCTGACAATGTGTTCATCATATTTTGAGCTTCCTAGATGAAGTGACATTGCTTATCTCCTTGAAGGCAAAAGCATTAAATCTGTTTCTTCTTTGCTCTTCAGGAGAAAAGCTGCCCTTACATTCCTCCGAAGAAGCTCAAAATCTGATGGGCCAATCATCAGGTAAAAAAAAAAAAAAAAGCTACAGGGAAATAAGTAGGCTTCTATTGCAATATATTTCTTAAATAGGACTGTGCCATTGTGCTCCTAGATAAATTGTCTTATTTGTGGAGAACACGGCGTGTTTTCTGGTGGGCAAGGAGAGATCAGGCAGTACAGTGCCTGCCTCTTTTGTAGAGCATGTCAAAAGAAACACACCTGTATTTTATTACCTATTTTCTTGATGTAAAGATGTGTAAAAATTCCACCCATGTAATGGAGAGACATCAGAGTTATCACCCCTATTCTTGCCTTTAATTTTGTATAGACTTCTCCCAGAAACAATAGAAAAATGCCTGTGGGAACTGAGATAGCAAGCAGTTTTAGCCATCTTTAAGCTATTCAAGGTGAGCTACATTTTTAGTGGGGCAGGACACTGAGGAATCAGAGCAGGACGCTGAGGGGTCATAGCCTGGTTGTAATCCTGGAGAGTTTTCTATTTCAAAACGTCCTGTACTGACAGCTACATGTGGGTCCATATGCGCTGAATGCCTTATCTGGGCATATGGGGAAACATCGTGTGGGCACTTACCCCATGTGAGTATGCAGAAATGTTCAGCCCTTCTCATCTGGTCTTTGCACAAGCACTGCAGAAGTAGAACTTGCTATCAGAGGAAGAAAACACTGGCGAAAGGTTTGTTCCAGTGCACTGTGCTATAAAGTCAGCAGTAGGTCAGCAGGGTGTAAAACCCAGACGGGGCTACTTGGTGCCGTCTTTGGCGCGAGTACACCAGGCACAGGTGAAGGTGGGCGTAGGGCTGCTAACTGGAGGATTTGTATTCTCGTCCTCTGCATTTCAACCCTTTTGTGCTCCTGAGGAATAATGTGTTAAAGAGACTGCCTTCGAGTAGGTGCCTGTGTATTATATTCAGACGTTGCCTCTTTGCAGGGGAGATTCAGTTGTTGCTCTGCCAAATGGTGTAGCTAGGAGGCTACATTCAGTAAAGTACTTGAATTGTACATTAGCAAATAAAAGACACTTGATCGTCTTATTTCTAGGGGTAGACGTTGAAATGGGATTCCCGTGTAAAGCTTAATTCTGATGTATGTTTTGGAGTCTGCAGGTTTCAGCTGGGGTGAGAGGTTTGAACTGTGGGAGTAGGCAAACGGCTATCCATCCGATTTCTTTTAAGATCAGTCCACCCGTCGTCTTTTCTCAGTGCAGTCCCAAGGCCAGTCAGGGATGTAGCACTGCCACAGCCGCTGTTCTGTAAGAAAATATTGCTTTGACAATGCTGGTATCCAGACAGATGTCATTTTGACCTGTTGGTTTTTAACTGCCAGCAAAACTGGACAGGAACTTCTCTTTCGCTACACAGAAAGCCTTGATGGAAATGCAGACCAGCAAAACTTGATCTCTGCTTGCCTGAGCTGCCCGGTGCTTTTGAGGCGCTGGCAAATTACCACGTAGCATATAGCAGCTCCTCTGGATTTTGTGCCTAGCAATTCAGTGCTGCTGCTGTGCTGTTTCATAGCAGCAGAGTAAATGGCACCTTCACTGCAGTGAGTCAGGGAAAGTGAGAAAACATGCAGCATCTGACCCTGGCCAAATTGCCTTTTCTTCCTTTTCTTTCAACAGTTCCGCTTTCTTTGTCCTTTTCTTTCCTTTACGTCCCCTTTATTCCCCTCTTTTGTTGATGTAGACCTTGCTGTCTCTTAGACTCTTGAACACGTTGATCTTAAAAGCCTTCCTTTGTAGTTTATATTCTACAGTTATGGTTTTGTGGTTACTGTACATACCTATTAGCCACCAGCCAGCTTCTATCTTGCAGGGTTGCAGTAGGATGTCCCTATTCTGGCAATGGTGCAATTTAATCTGGAAACCTGTTGGTAACACAGGTTTCATCCTGGCCTAGGAGTGTTCCTACATGCTGTCTGTTTACGTATGAAGCTGTATATGGTAGTCTTCTCGCTCCAACCTTTCCCACCGTAAAGGAAAATGTCCTTCCTTTCCCTAGAGAAACTGAGAGGAAGCAGATTGCTCTGTTCACTGGTTACTACATGCTGTGGGTTTCCACATAGTTTTGCAGGGAAGCAGGCTCTAAATCTGCATATCCTGAATCCAGCCACTCCTGAATCCAGTTAGTGGGCACGTCTTAGCAGTGGCTGGCTTGAATTCAGCATGCAAATCTGTGTGGCCTTAACTTGCAGAGTACGTTGCAAAGCCCAGCAGAGGAGGGTTTCACAAGGATTTCATCTCCCACACCTCAATGCGTGGCCCCGCAGCATCACCTTCCTGCACCTACACCCCAAGGCAATGTTGCCATGGTGCAGCACTGTCACACCCCCAGGGAATCTGGTTTTGGGCTGCTAAGTTGTTTTCTTCAGCGAGTTGCTCTGTATCGATCTGCACAGAGAAGACTGGAGAGCGCATGGACAACGTTCCTGATGTAGCATTCTCCCCATGGCAGGTTTGCTGTCTCTAGGGTCAGGTTTCCTAGCCGAAAGGCTGCCGGCTTCTGCTTGGAGGAGGACTTCGAAGGAAGTTACTTTTTTAACCTCTGTCAGCCTCTGCCTGGTGGCGCTGTAACCTGGCACTGTAACATACCTGCCTCAAAAGCCTTTCTGCGTGGGGAAATTGAGGGTGGGAAGGAGGAGCTAGCTGAGCAGTAGCACAGCGGTTTCCCTGTGTGTCTTGGGAAGCAGAGGAGAGTGAGGAAGGCATCTGCAGTCCGCAATATGGCACCTCATGAGAACCAGCTCGAGAAACCCAGGGGCAGCAGGGGAAGGTGGTAACCAGCTCCAGAAGAGTTAGGTAGCAACCGTCTTCCTCCTCCTTGTACCAGAATGTGTGATCCCCTTCCCCTCCTGGCCCTGGAGCAGTATGCAGCATTTGTAATGTCTACTGTTATGGTAAAGTACCAGGAGATCCACCACACTGCCTCTGCAAGCTATAACCATTTTCCCTTGCATATGCCCAGGTTTGGATGCCAGTCCCCCGGCCAGTACTCATGAACTCACCATTCCCAATGATGTAAGTATAGTGGCTCCGAACGCTTCCTCTGCCTGGCTCTGGATGTGTGCGCACGCATGTGTGTACGAGTGTATATATACATATGTATTTATATATCAATTTAAGCTGCAGATAAACTACCCTGTTAAATATCCTTAGAGATGCCCCTTCACCGAGATCACTGATGCCATTTGCGCCGTTCCTACAGTCTGATTGCTGGAGGGAGGTCAGGCAACAGTATAAAACACAAGTACCCACTGGACTTTACCTTTTTGATATCTTTCCTAGGTAACATCCTCTTTAATGCTCCTTTTTCCTTTTAAAGTGAACTTATTGCTCATGAAACATGCCCAGATGGCAGCACTCGGGAGGCGAAGGAGCTCCCAAGCCAGCGTGAATACAGCGCTGAGCATTGGCACAGACTCTGCCTTGTTGCTTAAATGTGTCTGGCTTTGGGCTGAGAAGAGAAAGGGTTGCCCAGTCTATCCTTATGCTCTTTGCTGAGGCCCAGCATCATTTGCTTAATGTGTTGCTGGCAGATGTGAAATGATGTTTCAGCTTAAGCATGTTTGCTGGTCGCTTGCAGAGGACATAAGTAAATATTGTTACTAATGCCACAAAGTGCCAAGCTTTTAAAGGACAGTGCATCTCATTTTGGTGTTAGTGGCAGTCAGATTTTGTTCTTATTGAGGGAGACATTAGGGTGAAGTGGATGTTGGACTTTGATATTCATTGCAAGAAAGCTGGAGTCATGTTGGGCACTGAGTGGTAAAAGGAGGATGCTTGGGAATACTCGGGTGGGAGTAGGTGGGATGGAGAGCTCACACAACTGGCACCTGGATCCAAGACTCTCACTTGCTTCTGGACTTCTGGATTCCCATGGGTTTGATAGCCAGCCTGCGGTCAAATCAGGATCAGGGCAAGAGAGGAAATGACTTCCAACACAGTCCCTCAGTCCATCCTTCTCGGGAGTTGCTGGATGAGGTCTAGCAGCTTTTTCCACTTCTTCCTGCTATTTAAGGGTTGGGCTGTGATTTAAGAGAACAGCAGTGAGCCTCGACACAACTGCCTTGATACGTCCGCTCCTTCAGGACACGTGCAAGGGCTCCTTCCGCTTGAGAGATGCAGCAGTGAAAAAACTTTGGAGCATCCGCCTGCTGAAATCCTCAGAGACATTTCACCCTTGGGCAAACCAATTGGGAAGGCCCTGCAGAGGAACACATGGGAGACAGCACCAAGGCTGTGCACAGCCACAGGACAGCTTTCCAAATCTGCTTTTGTTCTTCTGGTTAAGAAACCCCTCTGGGAGATCTGCACGTGCTCCTGAGGCTGCAGTAACCTTGTCTGCCTAGTGTGGGAAAACATGGATCAAGCAACAGTGGGTGCATCTTTGGGAATATTGACCTGCACCTTGCAAAGGGGCCTGCTCTGGCATTTAAAGTGCTGGTTGACCTGCCATGGGGCTTGGGAGCATTCAGAGCACGTGCTTTCTAAAAGCTTGGCTCAATTCAGACCTGTGCTAAATGTTATTGTCTGGATTCTCCTTCACCTGCTGAAAAATACCTCCTTAGCTCGGCCTTCTGTTGCTTTAGAGGCTCTTAAATTCGTGCTCTCACCTTCCCTGGAAATGGAGGGACAGGCTTGGGTGTCTGTCTCTTAAAGTAAAGCATTGCGAAGCTCATTTTAGGTGGCATAGGTTAGCTTGCGGCTGTGCTGCAGAGAAAGCAGGGTTCAAGGAAATCTGATGATGAAATCCAGCTATCACCTTATTCATAAGGCTTGTGTCCAGTTTGATTTCCTCAGAATCTTAACAAATAGAGCCATAAGGGATTTGAGACATGACCCTGAAGGCAGCATCATGCCATCAGCTTCTGGGCGCCAGATCTTGTCATTCCTTTGACTGTCAGGAGAAGCTTGAATGCTGTATAGAGATCTTGCTGAAAATTTCCTCTCTAAATAGATTTGGCTCCAATTGTCTCCATAACAGGTTCCCAGATGTAAGGGACTGTCTTTTGTTGAACCCTCTCTAGGCTGAGTTACTTCTACACTGTGAAGACCAGGATGGATGAGTGCTGGGCTGTACATCATGCTGCCCCCGAGAGCTAACTGATATTTTTCCAGTGCTGCAGTGCGGCATGCATTCAAGTTTGTTAACCATCACTACCCCTCTGCCTGATAGGTGAAGAATAAGGTGATGAGTTGGACATGGCTGTGGGTGACTGACTCTGTGAAGCTCAGGAACGTTCACTAGGGGATTGTCAATAGAGTCTTCTGCAAGGCTTAAAAAGGGAAACTTGTTAGGATGACATCATGCATGACAGTGTCATTAGTCAGGACAACTGCAGGTCATTTCTCTGCTCTTTCTAATCCCTCTGTTTCGTAGAGAGCTCTGGTATGCTTGTTGAGCGAGTGGCAATGAAAGGAATCTGCCCAGAAACATATTGCCATCTCACATTAAAATCTAAAAACCAAATAGGACAAAGCATCTCTTCTAAGGTGGACGTTGTTTGACAAGACCAGCGAACATTTAGAGAAGTAATTGTCTCCAGTTCTACAGAGAGCAGCAGAAGTCCAGCAGCTGCCAGGCTGAACGTCTGACATTCAAAATTCCCAAGTGTGACCTTGGAAAGGGGCTTAAATGTTCACAGACAAGCAGGACACACAGATAGACCTCATGCATATGTTGGATAAGCTGGACATCTTGATTTGCCTTAGGAAGCTGCAGTGGTGCTTAAGGAAACTATAAGTTGATGCACAAATGAGTAAGAGCAAATCTAAAGGCCACCTCAGGAGCCACTGAGAAAATTCAGCCCTCTGGACCTAAGGAAAAACTGTATTTTTTTCAAGAGTATGAAAGACAGGTTTTTAAGTAGAATTCTCATCTTTTGCTGGTGCTGTAACCATGTGGTACTTTCGACCTGCTCTTCGTTCTGGCAAAAGCATATGGTGAAACTGAGCTTCCATGCGCATTTTTCATCACACTGAAGGAGCTAAGGGGGGGAGGGGGTAACACAGAAGAGGCAGACGGATCCTCCTCAAAGGGCAAAAGGGTGGGAGGCCACAGGCACAAGCTGCAGCCAGGGAAATCCCAAAGTGTAAGGAAACTCCTTTTCCCTGAGAGCAGGGTCACCCTGGGACAGGGCATACCGAGGTGGGCGGGCTCCATCCTTGGGGGTGTCCTACACTCACCCTGCTCCCAGCCCTGAGCATCTGGCCCTGGCTTTGGGATGCCCCTGCTTGGGGCAGAGACCTCTCACAGTGACCTCAGCGTGCGGCTGACTATGAAACTGTGAAAGAGACATGCGTTATTTGAGATAAACCCATGTTTCGTAAACATCGACGGAGAATGTTTTTTCAGGATGCTGCTGCTTCATGTTGTAATCATCTTTGGGCCCTTCTGTAGACAGAAGGACAGGGAATTTGTGTGTAGGACAGGATGGAGTGAGCAATGTGAAACTATTAACAGTGCATGATTCCACCTACTGAGGGGGCATCTGGAGTTAAACTGACCCCTTTGGTAAGTGGCATGCTTATTTTCTTCTGGTTATGCATTCTATATCAGCATCTTCAGGTTAGTTGTGATTAGCAATGTGATAAGCGTAGAGAACAGTCTGAAATATGATTTATTTCCATCCTTAGACACTTATAAAAATGAAGGCTTTATCCAGTTATTAGATAATGAAAATCTGTTTTATAATGCTAGATGTGTTAAGCATGTTCACTAGGGTTCATCTGGAAAAGATCGGGCATTAAAGATGCTGTGAGAGATTCCTTTTGTCTCTCGTGTAGATGGCTCTTCAGAGAACAGTAAAAGACAGATATTGTGAGAAATTACTGTGATAATAGTTGGGTCTTCTCCTTAAACCTACTCATTTCCAAGCCTGGCAGAGGTCCGAAAAGAAAAATGTCCTCAAAAAAATTCTTGAAAAGGATAGGAGATGACAGAGAATAGATAAGGGCTGTTCAATCAGTCCTGAGCCGTACGCTCTGCTGTCAGGCTGACTTCAGGTTGTTCCCCAACGTGTGCTCCGTGCTCCATATGAGGCAGCAGCAAGCATCTCAGCGCTGCAGTGATGTCTTGCATTGGTGACTCTCAGAGGCTGATCCTGGCCCCAGCACCCAGGCTTTGACCCTCTGCAGAGAAGACCTGTCTGCCTTGGCAGGACTGGGTTGGAAAAAGAGTCCTTTCCTCCAGCAGCAGACTGGGGAAATGGCACACCTCTGGCCAGGCTCGCTCAGCAGGCCTGGGGAACCATCATGAGCGTGTTGCCAATTGTGGTCGGGATGAGGTGCAGTAAAACGCTCTGTTGGGACATGAGTTTGGAACAGCCCCAGCCCTCCCAGTTGCCTGAATTGTTTTGTGAATGTAATGCGGAGTTAACCTGCGAGCTGAGCGGAAGCCAGAAGCAGACCTGAGTTGTGACCAAGGCCTGATTCTCTTACCAAGATGCTGGCTCTGACACTTCAATGTCTGACTTAATGATTATACAGATATTCAGGGACTTTAAGCTTGTCCAATCTCTATGCTGCAATCACATCCCCTGTCATGTCCCCAATGCTATTTATTACGCCGTGAGGCAAAGAATCACACTGAGGGAAGCTGGCACACTTTGAGAGCGAGCTAATTGGACTTCTGCTTCACAAGAGACAGCATTTAGTAAGTGCTTTACGTTGGAATTTAGTGTGGATGGCTTGCCAGAGGTCTCCGTGCACACCACTCCCACCCTGTTCAGAGTTAGCTCCTTCTGTCCATCTCATGCAAGCATTAAGTATCTCAAGGAGATGAGCCATCTTTGGAGCCGTATGCCCTGAAGTGTAGTTCCGAAAAAGCCAGCAACTCCACTGTTCTCTGTTGCAAAACCTTTCTCTTATGCTCTCTTGCCTCTCCCAGTGTCTATCTGTTCTTCATCCTCACCGTTGCCACCTTTTCCATTGCTGTGAGCCTCTGGTAGATGCTGGAAGTGGCCACATCTGCCCACAGTGGCAGCCAGCTGTGAAATGGCAGCCAGCAGAGATGAGTGGAGAGAGCTGATTGGTCTCTCACCCTAGGAGACAGCTTCTTGGGAGAAAGGCTAGGTCAAGAGCTTGGATCACCATGAACTGCACCTGTTGCAGTGAAGTTTTTATGCTCACAGATGTGAGAGCCCAGTGCTATCCACAGGGCCGCTTTTCACATGTGCAGAGCACGTTGTCCCCTTCCTGTTCCCTTACTCAGTACCACCTCTGTGAGCTCCCCCCACTGCTGCTCTGTTCCCCTGGGACCCACCAGCCGCACAGGTATGTCAGCGGGCACTGGGTGAGGGAGTCAGGATGGGTCCTCCCCCTCCTCTTCCCAGATGTAAATCCATGGAAAGGGCAGCAAGAGGAGTAGGTTTGCCAGGATGTGCCTGGCACTTTGCAAAGACACGGATGCCCAACAGGCTCAGCCATCCTTCCCATATCACAGCAAGGGGAGATGTAGAGCTCCCTTTCCTGATGGCTTCCCATTCTGGGTCAAGGACGTGACCAGAAATAAGCCTGGTATAATGCAGAGGTGTCTTTCCCTTTCTGAAACCCTCAGAGGTCTTTGGCACTGTTCAGATAAGGAAAATTTGCTCTCAACGGACTAGAATAAGACAGGTTGCTAAAGGTCATGATGAAAGTATACTGGGAGAACATTGCTCATATTAAGGTGGGATTCAACCCAGTGCTTTTAGTCTCTTGTTTTCATGAGCATTAAAGTCACTCACACCCTTGAGCAGAGACAGCAGTGCTTCTGTCAGCCCTCTGATCTTCACCGTGAGGTTGTGCTTGCATCCCACCAGTTACTGCCTGAGCTTCTGCTTTAAGACATTCCCTCCATACTTTTTTCTAGCTAATAGGCTGCATAATTGGACGCCAAGGGACCAAAATCAATGAAATTCGACAGATGTCTGGAGCGCAGATCAAAATCGCCAATGCCACGGAAGGATCATCAGAACGCCAAATTACCATCACAGGAACCCCTGCAAACATCAGCCTCGCTCAATACCTCATCAACGCCAGGTGAGACCCGCTAGCAGCGGCTACATGAGCCCAGCCCTGCCTCCGTGATCTTCCCATAAAGAGAGAGGCTGGCTGAATAAGTCCTGTGGGAGCTCAGAAAGTAGCACGCGCTCCAGTCACTGCAGGCTAAGAGGGGTTTCATGAGGCTTTCTGGGCCGTCGCATGACATGCCCACTGATGGTTTCTTGCTAAGTCCTCTGAGTGGGGATCAGACATCAGCTGCGGGGCCTCTTCTCAGACAAGCACCTTGGCTGGGGACTAGAAGCCACTTTGTTGCTGTCGGAGCAGCCGCAGGTTGTGCTAGAGCCAACGGTGGGGCTGGTCACTTGCCCACCTGCCATCCTCGCTTGAGCATTTTGCTTATAACTAGGCAAAATCTCTACTTTTCCCTGCAAACAAGGTAGAGCTCTCAGGCAGGGCATGGAGATGGATTTGTTCTGGTTGTGGGAAGGCATAATCCGAAACTGCTCGGTGGGCTGGCCCTGTCCTCGCTGCAAAATCCTACAGACCAACTGTCTCTTAATACCTTCTCACATCCTCTTTCACACGTGTCCAGGCCTCCAAAATGCTTTCCTCTATCAAATGAAAATAATCAAATAGTCCAATAAACAAAAGACATGGGAACGACCTGATTGTTTCCTTTTCATATCAATACTTCTCTAACAAGTTTGGCACAGCAGGACTTTCCAGGGACACAAAGGGGCTGAGCTTAAGTTGAACCGACTTTCTTGACACTGACTGCGGTTGGGGTCCTGATGCTGACTGTGCTGCTCTGGGTCATGGATCATGTAAGCTGAGCCTGCTCGTGGCAAGCAAGGAACTGCAAGAGGAGATTATGTGGGACAACACAGTTGGAGAGGAATTGGTATTGAGGTGGAACTGGCTGACGTTAGGTGGCTGTGAGCTGTTTCTAGGGGGACTTTGGATTTATGCAAATCTGTCTGCCTGTGAGTACAAACAGGGAGTCTAAGAGGAAATGGGTCCTTTGCCTGACCTAGTGTCCCCTGCCCCTTAGAAATGCAGCCTGCATAGCGGTGAAAACTGAGGCACCCGTAAAGCCAACTGTCCACACTCTCCAGAGCAGGCAGAGCTGGTACCATGCCAACCTGCCACCAGTCCTGTTATTGTAGGGCACGCACTACTCCGAGCAGCCTCTGGCAGGATGAGGGTCCAGAGGAGAGAGGGCCTTTTGGGGAAGACTTATGTTCATTTAAGCGAGGGGCTAGGAGCACTGGCAAGATCTGTACGAGCTTTCTTCTCCTTGCACCAACCCACCTCAGCCCTGACCTGCAACAAACTCTGCCATTCTGTCCTCACCCCGCTCCCCCTTTACTGTGCTGAAGCATCTCTGCTCTCACCTGTGGCACCTCTCCGGTGTCCCTGTCTCCACGCTTCTCCAGCTTCATGAGAGAGGGGTGGGACTTCCCCTCGCTCCCTGGAGGTGCTTTGGAAGCACTGCTTTCCTGACACCTCTTAAATCCCAACAACTTCTTGAGAAAAGAAAGAGAAAGAAAAGAAGAGTGAGGGGCTCTTCGCTATAGGGGAAGGGCTAGCTGAACTGCAGCTTGCACAGGACGGGACAGGAGCTTGGCAGCAGGAGGACTGGACATGTCTCTGACTCCCACTGCTTCAATATGCAGAGAAAAAACAGAGACCAGGGGAACTTGAAGGTTAAGGCATCCCCCAATCCTGCTTTAAATACCTATCCCAATCTCCTAAGCAGCCCCTTGTTAGCCATACTTCAGGGGATGAAGGAACCCAGTGGGAAGTCAACTACTGGGAAAAAATTAAATTAGCCTAATTCAGGATACTGATATGACTGTAGGAGAGGGGGATCTGTCTCCTATATTGCTGGACCTTTGGCTCTAGGCCTCCCGATCGGGTGTGTGCCCGGAGCCCATGGGAGTCTGTTGGAGGATGCCTCCCCATAGAGAGCACTGGGAGAAGATGGGCCACACTTGGGCCACATACCCAATATCCAGGTGGCCACACATGGGGAAAAAAGATGCTCGAGCCCCTTTTGGGGTGTTGCCGCTTGTAAGACTGGGTTGGATCACTGCCTAATGCTATAGAGCCCCAGCAAAGGCAACATGAGCTGGAGGATGAGCGGGGTGCAGGTGAGAGAAGGAGCGTTGGCCCGTAGAATCTTCGTTTTCTTTTCTACTCTGGTTATTAAGTCTTTGTTTTTGTCTCCTCCCCTCCCTCTCTTTGCCCCTGTCTATTCTAGGCTGACGTCTGAGGTCACTGGAATGGGCGCACTCTAATTTCCACCCACCATCCTTCATTCTGCATCACCCGACCCTCTCAAGCTAATGACACTCCACCCAGCTTGTACAATCTGTATATTTACCGTCTCCCCTTTATCTCCATAGATACTCTTTTCTTTACTAACAAATATATATATATATATAAATACACACATATGCACACACTGAAATATTTTTTTTTTGAGCTCCCTACTGTGCTCCTGGTACTGCTCCTGAACTCTTTAGTTATGGTCCTTGTTTTCAGCGTATAGTGTTATTACTTCATCTGCTTTTTTTTTTTTTTTTTTAAAAAGGAATAAGTAAATCTGATCAACACAGTGGTTGGATGAGTCTCTAGTGTCAGTCTAGCTTAGCTATTTAAATGTTTGAGTTGACATTGATGGTACTAACTGTAGCCTATGGAACTGTGATGCTAACCAGAGCTGTGCTTGCTTCAAAGTACTTATTTTTCTCGCAGTTATTCCTTTGATGCTCCTGTTTTGTTCATTTTGCTTGTCCTGGCTCACCTTTGCGACCTTGAATCCTTGCCTGAGATTAAGGCATAGTTTTTACCTCACGTTATTTTGGAAGCAGAATGTGCAGGAGCCAAGCCTACATGCATACATCGGTTCACATAGACACTATTCCCTTTGCAACATGGCAGGGTCCAGACAAGCCATTTATTTTACTAAAGGAAGGGAATAATAATCATAAAAAGTCCTCTTTTTTAACTAACAAGCAACTGAAAGTAGGAAGAATTCAGTTATACAGGATTGAAACCCCCCCGGGGGCCTTTGGAAGCACTCTTATGACAATCCCCACAAGCAACTTTTGGATGATAGCTCAGGAAGCTCTGTGAGCCAGCTGTGTTTGTCAATGTTTGTATTCAATAAATGTCTGTGCAGCTCTGCTACCAACAGGCTCTGACTATTCTTCTCCCGGGTTGCCCCACGATCTCCAGTGTGATCCTTCCCTCTGCAGCTTTGCTTACCTTTTTAGCTACTTGGACAGAAGGTGGAGGTCATGTGCAAAACCTTTTTTTTAAAAAAAAAACAGTCCTCACTGAGTGATGCACTTCTTGAGTGGTTCTAGGCCTTCTTTTTATAAAGGGGAGGGTACCTGATTTGCACAATGCTTGTTTTTTTTCCTAAGATTAATTTACTTCTTATAGCATGATGATAAGCATCTCTCACTGGCCCCCTTGTCTGGACAGATTTGCCATGTCTGGGCCATATGCCCTTCCCTGAGCTCCTTTGGGTTCAGCCTTGCCTTCTGCTTCCAGGCTCTTGTCTTTGTATCCCTCTCCTACTTTTCAGAAGGGGAAACAAATATATTTTCCATCAGTTAATTTCTTACTGTACAAAATGTATGGTGCACATTTTTCCCATACTGCAAATGAGGAGGTCATAATATATCATGTCCCCAGACCACTAAGTAGCTGCATAATACATTTTTGCACCATAACTCATGGGAAATACGGATTTTTTTCCAGATGAGCCCCAAGACTTCATGGCTCGTCCTTCTCCTTCTCCCATACTGCTGGCACGTGCCCCTGTGCGCATCACCAGCAGCTCTCCTCTCTTCTCCTGCAGGGATGTCACTCCCACCACCAGTATCGCCTGCTTGGCCTCTCTGCCCACGCTCAGTTGGGGTGGCCAGAGTTTCCCTGGGGACTGCAATTCCTCCTGGTGATGCCTACAGCAGCCTGATCGACTAAGCTGGGGAGGAATGGACGGTTATGTATTCCAGCCCCCAGTAAAATGCAGGGCACAGGAGTTTTTGGCTGCTGACCAGGGCTAGTGCTGTCATTTGGCAGCTAGCAGAGACAATAGTGAGGCTCAGAGAGAGAGGAGGAGTGAGTCTACTTGAGCGAGGCAGCATGTTCCCGTGCCCCGTTCATGTCAGGCAGCAACTTGGCCTCTTGCCTCTCCTTAGAGGGGTCTGGTAGGGTTAGTACCCCCAGCTCTGGACCCCACACTGTGCAAAGCTCTTCCACGAAGGTAGGGAGTGGCTCCCAGCCACTGCCTCTGAGCATCTGCAGATCTCTCAGGCTAGGTGTCTTAAAATCCATGCATGCTCAGTTCTCCAGAGCATTTTTAAGCTTCTGCATTTAAAAGTGTTTCCAGCTCCATAATAAGATGCTTTGATGCCTTTTCCCAGCCCACTGCCCTGCTATCCTTGACAGTTTTGATTCAGCTGTGCCTTTCACATGGTCCAGCATCCCCTTATGCCCTGTCTGGAGGAGCCCAGGTGCATCTGGCAGTGGGAACGGGCACAGATGGGGCCAGTAGTCTCCTCCAGGGGAGGGTAGCAGCCCCCATTGTATTTGTGCTAATGCCAGGGCAGGGTAGGAGCCCAGGCACCAAATGTTGCCTCCCCTAAGTTGCAAGCTGACCACAGTGAGCGCAGAGACACGTGCCAAGGCAGTAATTTAACCGTGGGTGACTGGCACTCCTGATATCCTCCCATTCCTCACTCCAATCTAGCCCAAGTATTTTTCCTTTTTTGAAAGAACAAAATAACTGTACGTGAGTCTCAGCATGAAGATCGTCCATCAGCGTAACGGAGCCACCCATCTGCTCTGGACAGTGACCTGGCTTCGTGTACCAGCCAGCAAAAACTCCACATGCCTCTGCAACCCCCCCCGAGCAACTCGAATGCATATACTGCAGAGCTGCAACCGGTGAGCTGAGTATGAGGGAAATATAGCCAAGCATCGAAGGGCCTTTGCAGGGAAATCTCCGTAATCCTTTCTTTTTGCCAGCTACAGGGATGTCCCTCCGCTCTGTTGATCTCACCTGGGCTGTTGTGGCACAGGGACTCAGGTTTTGCATGTAAAATGGAGACCCTGTTAGTGCAGCCAGAAACTGAGGGCAGCCAGCGGCCTGGGGTGATGCACTTGGAGAGGGCTGGCGTATAGAGGGAGCCAGCTCATCTCACTATGGCTTGGGTCCCTTATGGGGCTGTAGGTCAGACCAGAGGATAAGCAGATGCCATAAGTAATGGAGGCTGCAGATAGCAGGAAGGGTGCATGGCAGGAGCAGCTTGCCTCCATTTTTTGCTCTACTTTCTGTGTGTTTTGGAGCATTTTAAAGCTCTGACACAAAGGGTGCTGTAAGAAATCATAAGCAGGATTGTGCCGACTGAGACTGGGGAAACCCATTGCAAGCAAACGGGTTCATGGGGCTTCACATGTCTGTGAGTCACTTAGGCACTGAGGAAGACAGGGACCTTTAATCAGGCATGCTAATTGCAATGAGTGATAGAAACTCTTTTCCATGGGGACCTGTGGATTCTGCAGAGCAGGGCTGCCCTGGATCTCTCTGCAGGATATGTGCTGTGCTATAGTTACTCAGCTCCCTGCACTACGTCCCAACCCCATTGAGAAAGCCCTGCCCAAAACAGTAAAGGCCTGACTGTATCTGCCAGATGCAACTGAGCCCAGAGGCTACTAGAGAGGAGGAGACTTTAGCAATACTTTTAATGTGGCTGCACACCATGCTCGCATTTGCCAAGTGGTCTGAAGACCCGTGGAACCGCCACGGGGTGGAATTTGCTAACAAGTGGGGTAGCCGTTTCCAGAGTCTTTTGACAGCATGGCCTTGGCAAGGCACATGTCCGCCCGTGCCTGGTTCAGGGTCAGAATGCATCGGGGAAAATGACATGGGTGCAGAGGACCAAACTCTTGCACTCCCTGCAGGGCAAGAGGAGCTCAGCCAATGCTTTGGGATAACCCTCCCACCTTTCTGCACCCACCTCCCCAATCCCAGCTAGGCCAATTGGTAAAGCTGCTGCAGAAAAAAGTACCAAAGGTGGTGGTTGTGGGGGGTGTCAGACACAAGTATTGCTCATTATCGAAGCCACCGTGTGAAGGCTGCATGCTTCAGCTTCATCTAGGCTTAAGAAAGCACTTTGGGAAAAGGTGCACCGTGCCATGGGAGGAGCAAAGAACAGTTCAAGTAGTAGTGGAGAGCTAAAAAGGGCACTGAGTCACTGCAGCCTCAGCTCTCCACGGAGCATCAGTAGAGTTTCACTAATCTTCCAGCATCATTTATTAAAAAAAAAAAAAAAAAGAATGCTTTTTTGGCCATTTTTAAAAGGGAAATTGCTGACATGTGCCATCTCAGAGTTCATCGCAGAGGGCTGGGTTTTGCCGTATCGCCTTGGATTGCAGTTCGTTTTGCGTGAATGATGTTTGCTTGTTTGATCTTTACATCTTAAGATATTACCAAAGTATTTAAAGCAATGCTTTGACTGACCTGAATTCTGGCTTGAGTAGGCAAGGGCGCCCTGATGTACCAAAATGATCATGGTTCTGCTTTTGCTGTAATATGGGACACTTTTTTTTTTTTATTTCTAGCTATCCAGAGACCATTTATAACAGAAAAAAAAAGGAAGCCATTTGAGCAGCTATAGTTGAAGTTACCAGCACTTCTGCAAATGAGGCTGGGGCCGGGGGGGGGAGGGTGGTTCTTACACCAGGCATGCAGAAAATAATAAAGCCAAGCTGAGCTCCCAAAATGGCAAATGCTTGTTTGCCTTCCCATTGCACAGGACCCCCGTCCTGCAGGGATTACAGCCTGGCCCACTGCCTCTCTCTCATATGCGTTTAGGTTTCATGTCGAGTGGGAAGGAGCTGAGTCCTTTGCTGTAGGGACTGAGTGAGATGAGCCTGCTGAAAACATAGGGTGTGATATCCCATGTGAGGCAGCTCCCTGAAGGCTATGTCAGGCTGGAGTGGCTGAGGTGCTCTTCATCCAGGTATTACCCCCTTTTGGAAAGTTTGACTTTGCAACTTATTTTTGAGTCAGATTTCCTACATTATTTTGCAAAAGGGGAAAAAAAAAAAAAAGAGAAGCCTAGTGTGATGTGGGAGTCTGGCTGCTTATCTATCAGCATTTGGACATGAGTGAGAAAGAGGTGTTTAAACAATAATTGCCATATTTCCTGAGAGCATGTTGTTGACAAGAACAGTGATAACATCACATGGAAATGTCAACCTCAGCTTCTTTCAGAAG